TCTAAGCTTTGTAGTTTTTGATGGTGGAAAATATTTAGCAATAAATTTTTGTGCTAAATTACCCCAAGTTCAGATAGATCTAGGTGCTAATGAATTCATAAATAAAATAACCTAAGTCTTATGGCATCATCTGAAACACCATTGTCTTTAAATGAAACACACAATTCTAAAAAATTGGAAAGATGTAAATTTGGATCTTCAGTTGGTGATCACCCAAATTGATTATTTGATACCATTTGGATAATAGCAGGTTTAAGCTCAAATGAATTACCCACTATAGTAGGTTTTTGAATACTATAATGAAGTTCATCCACAGTAGGGTTGGCATAATCTCTTAAAGGTCTAAACTCATGATGAATTTCAGCATTTTGATCATTTTGGTTTGTCATTTCTGTAAGTTTTACAGATTTTTCAAGATTTTTAATTTTTTTTTTGTTTATCTAATTTTTGTAATAATTCTTTCTAATTCAGAATCGTAGGGCACTAGCCTTTCAGAACTTGAACTACGCATACACTAACATAAAATAAAAAAAATAAAATAAAACATACAAAATGAGATACAATATTTAAAGTTTAAATAAGAGCTTCTAAAAATATAAATTTACTTAGTTTTATTCCCCGGCAACGACGCCAAAAACTTGATACACGGAGGCGTAATTGCTTATACACAGTATAGTAATAGTTCTGATGTTATTTTTTTCACTTATATTTCCTTATTTTGCAACAAAACCAAAAACTTGATCCTGAAGAAAAAAAAGAATTTAACTTTTTAATTTATATATATTCATATTGGGATACTACACAAGTATATGTATCGTTATCAAGTAATATAAAACATTTTAATTAAGACCTGAATATCAAACCCACGGGGAAGATTATGCAATATGCACTTTTTAGAAAGTTTTTCTATTTTTAAAAAGATAATTACTTAAACAAAACAGTAACAACTTAAAAAAGACTTGTAGGAATTTATAATTTAAATATTTTTGGTATTTTTGATATTTTAACAAAACAGTAACAACTTAAAAAGATAACTAAAGTTTTTGTAGAAGAAAAGTACTTAATCTGAATATATCTTTCTTCTTATCATGAATCAGTAATAAGTATAGAAATTTTGTTGTGGAAGTATGCAAATTGTGTTGTGTCAAATAGGAGCAATAATATTCTTTACCCTTACTAGAGATGCTATAAAGAACATTTGCTAATTTTAAGTTTGAATAGTTCAGAAGACCGACTAGGCAGAGAAGATTCTAGCTCTCACTCTAGAGATCCCTCGATTCCCTCTACCTGAGGGCTAACATTATCGTATCAGAACCTAAAACAATTAAACCAAGTTGAGGGCTTTAACTTGTCCCTTTAAAGTCCTCTAACACTACACCCATCAATGAATATTTCCCTATTTATTTACACTTAATCATATGAACTACATTCTCATTCATACAACCTCATGTGATTCATTCTGATTGTTGACTTAGATAATATCAGCCTGGTTCTTACATGTTCTAGAAAGATAAATAAAACTACTCAGAATCCATGGAAAAAATAAAACCACACTTTAGTTTAAAAAAAGAAATCATTGTCAAATCAATAACAAGTTTTGATTAAAACCAAAAGTAGTCTAAAAAAAAGATAAAAACTTATCTCAAGTCCTCCACCAAACTCTTGAAGTTCCTTTGAATCCCTTTTCTTTTACAATAACTCATAACAAAATAACAAAAAAGGATAAAGTAAATTAAAAGTGGTTCTTGAAAATCTCTCCGAACTAACTCCTTAGAAAAGAACTTTCAAAACTTGCCAATATTTTCAGAACTCTTTTCTAAGTCCTCTCTTCTTTCTTTTATAGTTTTCTAAGAGGTGCCTTGGGATCTCTTCAAAATGTGTCTTCATTCGATGTATTTGCCAAAGAGACGCATTCTTTCATGATATATTTCGTCCATGGTGGTTACAGCCACCTATTAAGCCAATGAGTGCCTCAAAAACCTCTTTAAAATTCATGAAAACTGACTTTATTCATCTAGTAACTGCCACTGGCACTTAAGCGCGGGGTCTCGGTGCTTAGGCACAGCCTTCTCTATTTAACCGGCGCTTAAGCACTGGATTTGACACTTAGGTGCCAAAACTCTTTTGCATAATTTTTCACCTTTTTGCTCCAAATTTGATCCTTTTTCACTCTTTTAAGAATTTTTTTCCATTTTTTACTTATATTTGCATTAAAAACACAAAAATACCTTTCATTAAAGCGTAGTATCTCAAAAATAGGTATAAAAATGTGTCTAAAAACACTATATATTTTAGGTGTATCAATTACCATCAGTACATGTGTCTAAAAACACCATATATTTTAGGTGTATCAATTACCATCAGTACACAATGAAGTTGTTAGAATAGATTCCCAGCGTAACTTTGTACCGGATTCCTCAGGGAGACAATGCCCATATCGATGCTCTATCAAAACTTTCTTAGGAAATGACGTTTCCACCGGAGGATTCTGTTGACATTACAATACAAGGACGTCAGGTTGTGTCATAAATCAACCTTGACAGTTTGCACAAGCTCAAGAAGGAAGAAGGAATAGTAGCTGCAGTGGTAGACGATCTCGAGGACTGGCGCAGGCCGTTAATAGAATATTTGCAAACAAAAAAGTTGCTAGAAGACAAGTCAGCCGCACATCATATCACGAGAAGAGCAATATCGTATGCCTTGGTAGATAATGTCCTCTACATGAGATTGTTTGATCAGATGTGGCTAAGATGTCTGAGTGCAGCTGAAGCACAAGATATTGTCAAAGAAGTACACGTCAATTTGTGTGGAGCTCTCTAATCAGATCCAAAGATGAAAATGAAGATTAAAGACTCAGATATTATTGTCCAGCAATGTTGATAGATTTCATGGATGCTACTAGAAAGTGTCACATGTGTCAGGTGAATGGAGTGTTCTTGCACCAACCTCTGAATGTGCTACACCCAATCGATGCCTTGTGGCCATTCGAGTGTTGGGTCATGAATATAGTGGGTCTGATAGACCCTTCATATTCGAAGGGACAAATTTATTCTCGCAGCTACAGATTAATTCTCCAAATGGGCAGAGATGGTACCATTATGAGAGGTTACAACGCAACACGTTCTTCAATTCTTCAAAAGTCAGATTGTCTACCATTTTGGTTTTGCGCGCAGAGTGATTTCTGACAACGGGTCAGCCTTTTAAAGCACTAAAATCAAAGTTTTGTTAGACGACATGCGATAGATTGAAGGTACTCCACAATTTACTATCCTAGAGCAAACAGTCTAACTGAAGCCTTCAATAAGACACTCATACAAATTTTGAAGAAGATGTTGGACGAGAATAAGAGAGGTTGGCACGAGAAGTTGTTAGAGGCTTTGTGGGCCTACCAGCCAACATTCAGAAATTCTACCCAGTGTACACTGTATGCGCTCGTGTGTAGGTCTGAGGCCGTACTTCCATTGGAGGTTCAACTACCGTGTCTTAGAATAGCCATCACCAATCAGATTACAGTAGAAGACAACGCCAAACTCAGACCTGCAGAGTTGGTGAGTCTCGAAGAAAAATAATGAGAAGCGCAGCAAAATCTAGAACTTTTTTTAACAAGGATGGTGCAGGCTCACGACAAGTTAGTCCGCCCTAGGGCGTTCAAAATTGGTGATCTCGTACTTGTTCACAGGAGACCTATCCTTGTACATTACAAGATAAGAAGAAAGTTTGAACCAACTTGGGATGGACCATTTGTCGTAGAGAAGGTCTATTCAGGAGGAACTTATCAGCTAGTACACTTTCGAGGCGAGAGGCCTATGTTGCTAGTCAATGGACAATATTTGAAGAATTATTATGTAGCTTAATGTTCCCTAAAGTGAATCTCTGAAAATAACGTTTGGTCTGAGGAATGACTATTTAGCTAGTGTCTGTGACTGGGTCCCAAAATTTTGGAATAAAATTGATCTAAAAAAATGAGAATTTGAATTTGCATTTATAAGTTCCTCACTTTATTTTTGAATTTCGCCAATTTAATTTAAATAAAATGTTCACACCTGTATAATTCTAAAATCTATTTAATAATGATTTCTTGATTGTTCTTGTTTGTTTTGGATTTCAGCGAGCTGATATTTTTCTGTCTTTTTGCAGGAAAATGTCAGGTCCGAAGCTGATCTTCTCTTTTAAAGACGGCTTAAATCTCACACTGAAAAAGAAAATGCAGCCTAAGGTGGCATCGTAAACTTTGACTTGGACTACAGTCAGGTTAACATTCAATATGAGGGTCCCCTGATGGACATTATCAGCCACCGGGAGACGGAAGGACTACCGTCACTACTCAAAATCAGTACCAAGGAAGACTCCTTACTGAAGAGGAAGAAGGAATAAAAGATACGGTACCCTACCCAATGGAAGGGACTAGCCACTTGCAGTCGATGATCACCACACTGACAGGGGACTTGGTCGGTGTTTCTGCTGACAGAGTTACTGACGCGCTGTTGAGAAGGACGCAATGTCGAAATGCCAACCGCCACAAATACAGAGCCTTCATTTGCCTGAAGAGAAGACGTGCAAGGGAGAAAGAGACAACACTTACCCCGATTCATGAGGAGAAGGTCTACGACCCCAGCTTAAGAGAGACTTCCACCAGTCAGCTAGTCATAGAAGATGAGCCAGAGTTTGTTGTGGAGCCTACACAATCGGAGGTCCCCGACGAGCTTTGCTTAGGATGTTCGATGTGTAATGTAGAAATCCTGAGACAGACATCAGCAGTAGGGGCATTTACGGAGTGTCCCAAATGTAACATTCTACACCTGAAGCGTTACGGGACGTTTGAAGAATATACCACTGCAATTATGAGATTCAGAAATGGCAAACACCCGTAAGTCGAGCCGTACATCTCACAGTTTGCAGAGACGCCACACTTTTGGACTCCTTCAGAGGTTGAGACAGTGAAGCAGCCTCGATGTGTACAAAGGATTCTTACGACCGAGCTTGAAAGAATGAGCAGAGTCATGAAATTAGAATTTGAATTTTATGAGGAGATTCGAGGAAATTTTGTCAACATCTTGGAGGGTTTGGAATTGCATACAGGAGTTTTCTCTGAAAGGGATGAGAGGAGAATTCTCGACTGTGTATTTGATATATGGGATAAAGGCTTTGTTGGTTTGTTGATGAAGAAAACATATTCAAAGCCACAAAAATGGATGAGGGGCAAGGGACAAATTACAATTCAATGTGGTTGCTACTATAACTTCGCGAAGGATAGACTAGGGAACCCCTCGGGTATCCTAAGATATGACGAGGTGGATCCTCTGCCTTCAGAGATAAAAAGGATTATCAAAAGAATGGTAAGGTGGAGCATACTGCCGGCAAATTATATCCCAAATAGCTGTATCATCAATATCTATGAGGAAAAAGAATGCATTCTGCCCCACATAAATTACCACGACTTTGTCAAGCCTTTCTGTACAATATCTTTTATGAGCAAGAGCAACATTTTACTTGGAAGAGAAATTGACATTGTGGGACCTGGAGAGTTCAGAGGATCAGTTGAGATTCCACTGCTAGTGTGTTCAGTTCTGATCTTGAAAGGAAACGGAGCAGACTTGACGAAGCATTGATTCCCAGGAGTGTTGCATCGTAGGGTTTCTATAACTTTTAGAAGAATGCACGACAGCAAGGTGCCTCATGAATTTGAGCCATATTCATAGTTGGAAAAACTACGCCCATACTAGCTGTGAGATAGATGTTCCTCTAAGTATACGTGAAAGGACTCCTGCCCCAGAGCGTGGCTTAGAAGGTTAGCTTGATCATGAGCCTACATCAGAAGATAGACAGACATATGCTACTTTTTTGTAATGCATCAGAGCAGAGAGGATATGATATGTGATATTACAGTTCCTATATGTATGTACTCAGCATGCTATTTTGGACAGTTTCAACATGTGATCAATTGTACTACATAATTTGGAAGAAGATTTAATGAAGTTTATTTTGAATCTCAACATATTTGTTGAGTTGCCTTTCTGTGCAAATAGTGAGAAGCCGCATGACCACACGGTGGTTCTAAACTATAACAAACAAGGAATGATACGAAGAAAATTTAACGATAAAAGTAAAATCCAAAACTAAAAAATTTATTTGAAAGGAAAAATAATCAGATCTAAAAAAGAAAACAAACAAAACAACATATATCCTGATAATAACATGTATATAATGAAAGTGATAAAAATGGTAGGCGAATCCTTCATGTCTCTCTCACATTCTGCATCCTTCACATACATTCCACATCCTCCTCACTTCACAAAATCCTCCGCGATCCCCGTAATCACAACTCCCAACTTTACACTCGGGACTGTAGACCTCCGTTCTACTCCCTCGGGACTGTAGGCCTCCGTCCTACTCCCATCTTTACGCTAGAGACCGTAGACCTCCGTTCTACTCCCTCGAGATCGTAGGCCTATACCCTACTTCCAACTTTACACTTGGGACCGTAGACCTCCGTTCTACTCCCTCTGGACCATAACCCTCTGTCCTACTCCCAACTTTGCACTCAAGACCGTAGACCTCCATTCTACTCTCTCAGGACTGTAGGCCTCCGCCTTACAACCACTTTTACACTTGGGACCGTAGACCTCTATTCTACTCCTTTGGGATAGTAGGCCTCCACCCTACTCCCAACTTTATACTCCCACCTTTGCACTCGGGACTGTAGACCTCCATTCTACTACCTCGGGACCGTAGGCCTCCACCCTAGTCCCACCTTCACACTCGAGACCGTAGACCTCCGTCCTACTCCCATCTTTACACTCGGGACCGTAAACCTCTGTTCTACTCCCTTGGACAGCAGGCCTCCACTCTACTCCCAACTTTACACACAAGACCGTAGACCTCCGCTCTACTCCCTCGAGACCGTAGGCCTCGCCCTACTCCCACCTTTGCTCTCGGGACCGTAGACCTCCGTCCTACTCCCTCGGGACCGTAGACCTCCATCCTAATCCCATTTTTACACTCGGGACCATAGACCTCTGCTCTACTCCCTCAGTACCATAGGCCTCTGTCCTACTCTAAACTTTACACTCGGGACCGTAGACTTCCATTCTACTCCCTCAAGACCATAGGCCTCCGCTCTACTCCCACCTTTACACTCCGGACCGTAGACCTCCATTCTACACCCTTGGGATCGTAGGCCTCTGCCCTAATCCCACCTTTGCACTCGGTACCGTATACCTCTGTTCTACACCCTCGGGGCTGTAGACATCCGTCCTACTCCCATCTTTACACTCGGGACCGTAGACCTTCATTCTACTCCCTTAGGACCGTAGGCCTCTGCCCTACTCCCACTTTTGCACTCGGGACCGTAGACCTCCATTCTACTCCCTCAAGACCGTAGGCCTCTGCCCTACTCCCACTACTTTGCACTCGGGATCGTAGACCTCCGTTATACTCCCTCGAGACCATAGGCCTCCGCCCTACTCCCAACTTTACACTCGAGACCATTGACCTCTGTTCTTCTCCCTTGGGATTGTAGGCCTTCACTCTACTCCCAACTTTATACTCGAGACCGTGGACCTTTGTTCTACTCCCTCGGGATTGTAGGCCTCTCCCCTACTCCCACCTTTGTACTCGGGACCATAGACCTCCGTTCTACTCCCTCGGTACCATAGGCCTCCGTCCTACTCCCTTCTTAGCATGAAATTGAAATTGAAATCAAAGCACTCGACATTCGGGATAGGCCTCTGACCTAATTCCTTCTCAACACTAAATCAAAAACAAATCAAATTCTGACACAAATCTGAAACCTACACCTGAAGCTTGATAGTCTGAAGTCCGCCTTTTAATCCCCAGTTGAAACAACTATCACTCAATTCTATGCTTTGTCCTAAGTATGTTGGGATAGATGTTTGTGTTGGTTTTGTTGATCTCTTCGGTCAACACAAATAAGTGCGGTGTGCTTGTCCGGCACACCACACCTTTTGAGGGTCCATTTGTTGACCTTATTTTTAGTGAGATTTAGTTTCTTCTTAGGATTTAGGGTCGAGCCTTAGGATTCTCCCTTCAACTATCATAGAGCCTTTGAAATGGGACCCACCTCATTTTAGAAATCCAAACTGCTTCTATACTCTTTTGAAGTTCTGTGTGTGGTTATGGACCTCTAGCACTTAAAAGGTTGAAACTAACATGAGGGAACTCAAAAGGAGTCCCTATAGGACCTTTAAACCCTAGGGTTGTCTTTTGCACAATTTATACCTTCGCACGCACAAACTTTGCAATTCATTCAGTTGACACATTCAAATACCAAAATTCACATCGTCTGCGCCGTTATTCGTCGAAAGCTTAAATAAATTTTTGAAATGATCGATAGCAAACTGAAATTTTGACAAAAATCAAATTTGACATTTTTTTTACCCGATCATTGACGAGGTTTTCCTGACGACCCCGGATGATAAAACAGACTGCCCCAGTGCGTTTGAAACATTGAATTTATTTTGAAAGCACGTGGACTTTGCTATAGTTACATGCATGGATGAATAACGCACGAATTGGAGAATTCTTTAAATTTTAAATATATTACATAAAAAAAAAATTCTTTTTCCCGAAATCCTAAATTCCTAACTTGACTCACGCCCCGTTCCTCCCTTCCTCCTATTCGTACCTATGGCTTCCCCCTTTCCGATTAGCAAGGCCCAACTAAGCCTTCCTGCTCCTTGCCGAGTCTCCTCCTCACTGCTCCCTCTCCTACACATGACAGAGATTTGACTCCTGTCCTCGACATTTCCTGCCTGAGGATCCTCCTTCTCGAAGCCATGCCTGTCTCCACGGGTTGCGAACTTCCTTCTTTGGTAGGTTGACCCTTACAAACTTGTTCTCTGAAGCACTTGATTGGCAATCCCCTTTTCTATCTGATGCTTCTCACGCTGCCACCCTGCTCTCCGCTTGATCCTTAGATCTTTTATTCCTGCCACCCTGCTCTCCGCTTGATCCTTAGATCTTTGATTCTCTCACCTCCGATAAGTAGAGGGCATCTCTTCTCCTCCCTCTAGCCTTTATAAACCCCGTCTGAGGGAGGTTTGAGGGCTGACCCAAATTTTAAGGTGAAATGGGGAAGTACTGTTGGGTGTTCTTCAAACCATTCATTTATATGCTATGCAAGTTCTTAATATGAAAAAGAGCACACAGAAAGATTTGGAGCATATATTCAATAAATTTCTATGGTCTGGTGAGGGCAACTCTAAAATCTGGTCAAATTGGCATAAAGTGTCCAAGCTTGACTTTCTATAGGTTTGGGTTTTAAAACTTACAAATTGTTGAAATCAATATGTGTAAGCTGTGGTTTAAATTTCAACTTGGCTCATCTTTATGGGCTTAGTTTTTGCATCATAAGTATTGCTCTCATCAACACCCATCCTTGGTTAATTGGAAAGTTGGGGATTCTAAAAACTGGAAATCTATTTTAAAGGTCAGAAACTTGGCTAATCAATTCTTCTTTTGGGACATTAGTGAGGAGGAGGTATCCTTTTGGCATGAGCAATGGGGGGTTTCTAATCTTCATGATGGGACTTCTACTTTGCTTAGTGACATGATGGTCTTTAAATGTTGGATTGATGGTAATTGGGACAAGAGTAAATTAAGGGAGATGTTGGGTGAGAATGCGGTTCCTATTACTAAAATTCCTATATACCCTGATAGGCCTAATAATCCTATTTGGAAACACTCTACTAATGCGTCTATATCGAAAATTCTTTATAATAATTTGCATAACTTTGATAAATGAAAATGGGGACATCTGTTATGGCATGCTTATATGTATCCCTCTATATTTTTCTTCTTGTGGAGTTTTTTCTTTTCTTTGCTTCCTCTTGGTGATATCTTAAAATTAAAAGGTCTGAGGTTGGCTTCAAGGTGTTACTTATGTAGTTGTGGTGAGGAAACTCTCAGACTCCTTTTTTTTTTAGTGCTCTTTTTCCCAAACTGTCTGGCAGATGATAGGGAGATATTTTCATATTAAATGGCCGCAAGCTCTTATGTTGGAAGGTATGTTGGCGGCTTGGAAAGCTTCACAATATTATGATAAGAAACTTCTTTCTTTCCCTTTAGTGGTTTTATGGTTCTTATGGTCTGCTCGTAATAGCCATAAACATGCAAACACCCCCCCACCCAATCCTTCCCTCACTATTTCTTACATACTATCATATTATTTTAAAGCTTTACATAGTTTGGGAAGTACTTTAACTAGCTCTGTTATGGACATGGGTAGAAAGCTTTTACTAGTTAAATGGCAACCCTCTACACAAGTTTGGATAAAAGTTAATATTGATGGGAGCTGGACTTCTAAAACTGCTGGTGCTGGAGGTGTTTTCAAAAATTCTTTTGGGAATTTGATTTGTTTCTTTACTTCTCTTATTTATGCACATAGTGTCAGTTGCCAAATTGGGAAAGAGATATTTGATTTAATATAATATATATAGTTTTGAAAAATAATTGCTTAATTTTAAAAATACGAGACCGAACCGATCTCATACAGACAATAATTTAAATAAACGAGCACAACACCGTAAGTGATACATCTATCCCGAGGAATAGACATATTACTTACTTGTGAGACTCGATTAGATAAACT